CCGCGCGGGTGTTTATGTCGGGTCGCGGTGTCTTGCAGCAGCATGGCGGACTACCTGATCAGCGGCGGCACCGGATACGTGCCCGAGGATGGGCTCACTGCGCAGCAGCTCTTCGCCAACGCCGACGGCCTCACCTACAAGTAAGCGCGGGGGGCCTCGGCCCCACCTGGGTGCGCGCACCAAGGCTACACGGTCGCGGGACTGCGGTCCGGCATGTGCACCGCTCTCCCCTCGGTGACACCCGCGTTCTCCGGCCTGATTCGAGCGACTCGAGCGGGAGGAGGGGTGGAGAGGGCTGGGCAAGGGAAAGAAGGCGGCCCGTGCCGAGAGCAGACGGACGTGGCACAGCGACAACGCGGCCCTTGGTGCCATGCCCCGTTTCTGGCTAGATCCGGGTCCCGCCTGCCCCCTTCCCCCTCTTGTGGGCATCTTGGCCACATGAAGGGGCCTTGGACATGTGGGAATACGAGATGTGGGAGTTACGGAGACTTGTCCCAGACCTTGATCCAGGACACCCTCTCACTCCCAGCGTCACTAGGAGGGCAGAGGGGCCCTGGAGCCCAGCTAAGACAGCTGCTTGGGTGTTGCCCCAGGAGAGGCCCAGCTGGGCAGTTGGGGTGGCTCCTTTTTCCACCATCTAGTCCTCTTTCCACTCGTGCCTCGGCCTGCCCCCAGGTTAGCGCTTATGCCCCCCTGGGCTTTGTATTCTGTGACTGCTGCCTGCCAGCCCACCTGACGTGGGATTTTGTAGATCAGGACCTATCTATTTACCTCTGGCTTAGTATGCTTTTCCATGGGCCCTGGGCCAGTTGTCCTGCCGGCTGCAGGCCTGGCATTAGCTCTCCTTCTGGCTGCAGGATTGTGTCCATGCCAGGAAGGAACATCAGAACCTGGGACTGGAGCAGAGTGGAGATGCTGGCCAGCCAAGAGCACCCCCTGCCTGTCTCCTGCTGGTCCCTGCCCTTGCCTGTAAGCACTCCTGCTGGGCAGGCAGTTTCCCTAGACACCATGATACCCAGTCATTGCCAAGGAGTGTCGCCCAACTCCTGCCTTCCCGGTAGCTCAGATGAGGGCCAGGTGAGGGGTGTGTGTATGTAATACCTAGAAAATGCCAAGAGGCCCAGATTCCAGTTTTTTTCCTCCGGCCTCTACGTGAGCCACAGAGGCCTCTTCTCTGTACAGAAGGGCTGCCATCAGGCAGGGGCAGTTAAGGTTATTTCTTTAGCCATCTTTGATGGAGAGCTGGTGGAGAGAGTATCTCTTTGATGTATTTTTCACCGGAGTCTGCCAAGGAAACTTCCTAGGGAAATTTTTAGGAGTTACTCTTGGCCTTGGGGCAGGTTAAAGACCCCACCCCTCCCATCCACCCTGTAGCTTTTCCTTCCCGCCCTGGGGGCCTGCTGCTTTGCTTACTCTGGTTGGGAGGTTGGGAGTGTTCCTGAAGTGGGCGGCATTTGCTTTTGGGTGTGTCTGTCAGGGTTCTGTGATTTCTGGAGGGTTAAGCCTGTAGGGGCCCCTGGACTGTGGCCCTGTATGTACCTCGCCATACCTGTGCAGGCCTGCACACCCCTTCTGGGGTTTGCTCTGACCCTGGCCCACCCTAGTGCTGGCAGCTGCCGTGCTTTGACTGGGGCCCTAGGATCCTGGTCCTAACCATGAGGCCCCTTCTTCCCCTTTCCTATCCCAGGCCATGTCTGTTGGTTGTCCCATCCCAACCGATCCAACACTTAATGGATACCTGCTCTATCCAAACGTGCCTTGTCCATGCTCAGCCCTCTAGGGTCCCTCCGAGCTATTCTGAACCCTGTGTGACTGAGCGGCTCTAACACTTGGCTGTGTGCAGCTTGTCCTGTGCTATGTGATGTTCATGTCATGCTGCACTTTTAAATTGTTCTCAGGTTCATTCCATGTTGACTGATTGTGTCCCCCTATAAAAACTGAAAGGGTTTCAAGGGCAGGTACCATATCTGCCGTGTGTGGCATTATAGGAACTTATGTTCCTTGACGAACTCTGAGCCCTCAAGGCAATGGACATTTTGGGCCAACTGGCCTGGTGGTGCCTCAGGTCTACAGACCTTCGACTGCCTTTGGCCCTTGATCTGTGGGCTGGAGTCAGTAAGATGCCAGTGCGGGCAGGAGGGTGGTTCAGCCCTGAAGGGGCAGCAGGGATCAGAGGGCTGGTCTCTACCCGTCTCCCCACCTCCATGCTGCCGCCCCTGGCCTGGCAAGCCCTGCCCCTTTCAGATGCTCCTCCTCACCTGGTAACACTCACTTCTCTCTCTTCACAGCGACTTCCTGATTCTCCCAGGATTCATAGACTTCATAGCTGATGAGGTGGTAAGAACCTCTTGCGCTGACCGGGGGAAGAGGAGCTGTGTATGTGGTGGAAGAGGCTGACTTCTGGCTCAAGGGCAGGGTGTAGGGGAGACTTCTCTTGGGAATGTGGTGGATGTAGCCTTTATTGCTGCCAGAGAAGCTGGCACAGTGCAATAGGTTATGCCTAATGGGGCAGAGGCAGCTGTGGAGATTCAAGGGTATCTTGAGTGGTGGGCCTGGCCCAAGGCCAGAGGGCTGTCACTGACAGAGCCTGCAGTGAAGTTCAAAAGGCCCTGGGAGGGTGTGTGTGTGTGTGTGTGTGTGGCTGCTTTATTACCGTAAACCGGAAGGATTGGGTTTTGTCTGAAATGCTGAGCAAAGACATAATAGAAGCCAGTAAAATTATAGAGACTTTGAATGAGGTGGACAGACTTGTTCAGGGATTCAAACATATAAGAACTGGCAAGAGGGTTTGGAGAATTTAGATTTTGGACAAATGCAAGGAAACACAGTTCCTTGCTTACCGGAGGGGCTCAGCAGTGAGCCAAGTGAATGAACAGTGTCCTTTACATAATTAACACATGATGAACTCACAGAAGCCAAGGGGTAGTGCTAATGGGTGTTAAGTCATCTCCTAGGAAAGTTAGATTATGCTATGATGAATTCATACTCATTAAAAAAATAGTTTCTCTTCTGTTGCTGTTACCGTTGATATTTATTCAGTTCTGATTCTCATGAAAAGCCAGATGGCCTGAGTGTGCCTGGATCACTTATACATTGAGGAAGCTTATGTCCAGCCTGTGTAGCCAGTGCTGACCCCAGCAGATTTTAAGGGGGTAATTTGGATATTTCTATTCTAGATATTTCCCTTATGACGGGAACGAGAAAGCCTTCTTGGTTCAGCTGTTCAGTTTAACAAAGTTCATCAAGCAGCCTGGCTTGTGCCAGCCTCTGGGCAGGGTGCTAGGAAGAGAGGGATAGGCAAGACCCCTCCAGGCCATCAAAGGTCCCCCTGTCCTGCGACCTCTGTGGTATAATAGGAGAGGAGAAGGGGGAGTTTTCTGGACTGTGGGGCTAGGGTTCTGAACCTGGGTCTGTAGATGGATGTCAGAGGCCTATGAGTCTCCAGAAATTATAAACCAAAGTCTGTCTTGAGCGTTTTGGGGGTTAAGGTCCACAGCTGTTGTCCTGACTCTCAGAGGAGTCTGGCTCTGTCCTTATTTACCGTTCAGACAGATGCCTCCCAAATGTATCCTTGCAGTCCTGGCCTCTCCCTTGAGCTGCAGACCCTTAGTCACCTACTTTCCTGGATGTCATATGACTCCTTCTCATGCCTTCCCACTTTCAGTCACCCACATCTCCCTCTCGGACCTGTCAGCAGCCTCCTTGGCAGTCACCCTATGACAGGCCTTGTTACCTAGAATCCATTCTCCACATCAGAGCCTGAGTGACCTCTTTAAAACATAAACCAGGTTGTATTTGTCCTCTTCCTGAGACCCTCCAGTGGTTTCTCATCTCAGAATTCAATCTGAGCTCCTCCCCCTGGCTTTCGAGGCTATATGTCCTTGCCCCCA